CATCCTTTTTGAAATTTAATATTGCTTGGTAAGTATTATCCTTATAACAGAATACACATATCTTCAAATGATCATGTAAATGCTTTGTACCATTTTTTGTTTCACCCCCTAATTATTTCTTGCAATGATTGCATATAGCCTTCCATTTCTCACTAATTTTCTGTCTTTTGTAGTGCTCCCACACAGTTGAAGTCAATTTCCTCTTTCCAAATGATATTTCTCCAATATCATGCTCCTCGTCACTTAGGTTTATTGTCCTTTCATCCGCATTTGGTAACAGTTCAACTGGATCTTCTTGCGAGACATTGCTCTCCGGTACATCGGTCATGTTATCTTCCTCGCGTATTGGTCCTAATCCAATAATTCCAGCACTACTTGGGCCTGTGCAAATAACAAACGACATCAAACAAATCGAATTTTCTACAAAGAACAATAATAAAAAATACAAAGAACTAGCCAAGTAAGCCAAGATCCTGTAAAGTTTCACTTACCAGAAAATAAACATTCACAGGCACTGCAAAGTTACCTATAAATGCACCAAAATCGAATTGTGATATCGATATCTGATTATACCTAGAATACTCGTTACGGAAGAAGTAGAGCGAATTGTGATACCTTTTTAGTCATTCATAAACAAAATACTCTTTTCCTCTACTAGTCTAGATACTGCGTTGTGACATCGATTCAAAAAGTCTTGGCGGATGATATAGAAACTTATCATCACTCAAAAGCATGAAATAATTTTACCAATCCATATAACGACTTGTAATATACCGAAAAAACAATCTCAGAGCATCTTGATTGAGTCCGAATTACATATCTATTCTATGAAAATTACAAGGTTCCTTACTATCCATCCCAACAAGTTTACACATCCTCAAATATTTAGCCAAGGATTCTAATTCACAATCAAAATCTTAGCCAACAACCCACTGTTCTGTTTGTATTTAAAGTTTAGGAATTGACCAATTATCAAATGCCAATGCATATGATGACTAGTCGAAGAATTAGGCTTTGGGTTGAATGACGATGACCCCTTCCAAGCACAAAGTGAACATACCACAATTGAGAACAAACAGATATTGATTCTTTCAACAGGAAAATATTATGGAAATATATTATGCATGTCTGTTCGGTTATATTATGGACAAAATCTTACACTTTAAGCACAATTTAGGAAATATCTGCATTATGTAACAACATGAAAATCCCATAACTGTTCAGTTATTCCTAAGAATTTGCTCTTCCTATCTTCCGGAAACAAGATTGAAATTTCCTTTTCATAGTCCAAGAAGAAAAAACTAAAATTGATCAAATACATGTTATATGATGCATACTCGTAAATCAAATACATGCTCAAGCTCTACAATCACCCTGCCTCTTATTTGAGTCGAATGCACTCAAATTGAACAAATACATAATTATATGACGCATACTCATGTGAAATTCACATGAACATGCTAGATGCTAGAATCACAAATATGTGTGTGCGTGTAGAAGCTTGCACGAGTAAATCGTTTCCCATGTATTTTTAGGTTTTTATACTAAGAAGAGTTGATGAGAATCTTGAACTAAAAGCATTAAACATGTTCCATTATAATGCAAATCTCTACAAACACATCTCTTCGACATATACAAATGCACTTAGACACAATTCAATTGACAAATGCACGACCCAACAATGCATGCATACATACATACATGAATTTAACGTGCAAACACTACAACAAATGAATCTTGCAAATATTTTTCATGATTTTTGACAAAGATCGAGAGTTGTACTCAATCTTTTGACACCTCGACACATGAGCCTCCAACAAATCATGAGAATATCCAAAGAGAACATGTAGAAGACAGTAATCAAAAGGATTCATTGAAAAAAAAAACCAATAGTTAGAAGATAGAGCAGAATGAATAACAATTACTTTATTCACAATCCCATATCATTAACTTCAAATCTGAGTCCAATTAAGACAAAACATAAAATGACGAATTAAAAGGAGAAACACAGTAAAATAATCAATTTTTTTCTTTTAGCAATGAATCGTTTCTTTAACCTGCATGCACCATGCAGTGAGATTGGCAACTCGTAAATCAGATTTTGGGAAGCCGTCAATGGAGGTTCGAAATTGATTGCGGGTTAGGGTTTGGCTTTGCAATTTGGGTCGTGGATAATCGTTCTTGCGTTTTCAGCTTTTGTATTTGTGGAAAGGCTCGAAATTGATTTGGTCGTTGGCAGAGACGAGAGGAGAGGAAAAGGAGTAGAAAGAGAAAAGATTAGGACAACCCACTGAACCCAGCGTCCCAGCCCTTTTGTAAATTGTAATATATAAATATATTTTTATTTTATTTTTTTTATTATTATTTTTTTCATTGGACGGGTTCGGGGCGGGGTTGCCCGCGCCATCTCATCAACCCATCGGGGCGGGACGTGGTGACTTGCCATCACTATAAATGGTGCTTCATACTCACCATCTAGATCGTTTCTTAACACCTTAATTTTCTTATTAAGTTGAGTTTCAACCTCATTCTTATAGAGAATAAATTTCTCTATGGTTTTATCTTTACTTTTTAGCAAATATATATAACAGTATTTGGTGCTATCATCGACAAAAGTAATAAAATACTCGTTGTCACCTCTTGTTTATACAAATTTTAAGTCACATACGTCACTGTAAATTAAATCAAGTGGTTTTGTGTTCCGTTCAATTGATTTAAACGATGACCTTGTCAATTTTGTCTCAGCACAAGTTTCACACTTATGTTTGGAATCAATATAGAACTCGGGTATGCAATTCAAGTTAACTAATCTTCGTTAAAGTATCATAGTTAACATGTCCTTGTCTACCGTGCCATAAATTGGAATACTCAAGCAAATAAGTAGAAGAGTCTGCTTTATTCATTTTTGGTTTAACAACCATTATATTAAATTTAAACATAACATCGAAAACATAAACTTTACGGACAAACATTCTATTTTTTGACAAAACAACTTTGTCTAACTCGGATACAATGCAAAAACCATGCTTATTCAAAAGGGACCCGGACACTAAGTTCTTGTGAATTTTCGGCACATATAGCACGTTGTTAAGAGTCAGCTTATTTCCCGAGTAATCTTCAGAACCACTTTTCCTTCACCCTTAATTTCAGAAGTTGCTGAATTTCCCATAAACAATTTCTCCCCATTCTCAATTATTTCCAACGCAACAAACAGCTCTTTATCATAGCACACATGCCTCATAGCACCGGTGTCAATCCACCACTCTTTAGGGTTTGAACCCACCATATTCCAAAAATGACGGCAGAGAGATTCAGCTCTGACATATCTTGTGCCATGTAGTCAACCATATTTGCTTCTTTCTTCTTCTTTGACAATTTGCACTCCGAAAATTTGTGGCCTACTTTTTCACAATTGAAGCAATTCCCTTAAAAAAATTTCTTAGAAATTCCATATTTCGGTCATTGCTTGGTCATTTTGCCACCGGTTGGTCTAGACTTGTTTTTGTAGGTCTTACTACTTTGACCATGCTCTACAACATTGGCTTTAGCCACAACAGGATTGAACTACTTCTTTTCAAAACTTTTGTTGTCTTCTTCAATTCGAAATCTAACAATTAGTTTTTCGACGTTCATTTCCTTTCGTTTGTACTTCAAATAATTTTTGAAATCTTTCTACACGGGGGCAATTTTTCAATAATTATAACCACTTGAAAAGTTTCACTCAAAATATCCTTTCGGCATGAGTTTCGTGAAGAATCACTTGGAGTTTTTACACTTGACTAATAATTGTTTTGGAGTCCACCATTTTATACCATAGTTGCAACAATTTACCGTATTTGCACAAACATACTATATATGCAAAAGTTTACTGTATTTTCACTTACCGATCTTACATATACCGTATATGCAATATGCAAAACTGTATTCTGTAAAAAAGTTTGGAGAAACTGTATTCCCGTTTTCTTCTTGTTAATCTGATTTTATTTGAAACATAAATAGAACGACAAAATAATAAAATTACAAATTATATGAAGTACACAAATAAATTGCAGAAATATATGAACAATGAAGATAAAATCGCAGGAAATAAATAAATATGAAATGAATTTTAAACCCGAGGCATGTAAGAGCACAGTTTCCTTAAAACAAATTCGACCTCTCACCGTAAGTGCTTGAAAATTAATTCGAGCGTCTGTTTTCAAGGATACAACGATAAAACCAATAGGATATAAGCATCACAAATACTACTCTGACAAACTGATTAGTATCTGAACAATATCACCACTAAGACGACGCTGACAGAAATCGAGATTATGTTTGTAGACAGACCAACTTCGCCGAGAATGATAATATGCAGACACAATTTTTCTCCTGTATTTCGTGTGTAAGAATTGCTGAAAAATGAGATTTAATATAAGTTAAATATGCCCATTAACTCTATCACAATAAATATTGGAATTATTTCAGTTTCTGCAGTAACCATTGGAGTTTTAGAAGTTTCAGAAACTCAAAAGTCAATTGGAGAAAACAAAAAAAATTGCAAAACGTGGATACTCCAAATGGGTTAATTTTTGCTCTGTTCGGTCTGACATTCGTGTACGCAGGTTGCGCCCACACATAAGTTCAAGGTCCGAAAGCTATTTCGATCCGTGATTTGCACCCCCTGTGCGTGCACTTGGAGAGAATCTCTATGCTACACATGATTACACCCTTTTAATGTGTAGCCATATATAAAGTGGTTCTTGCTTTCATAATTTTCCTATGTGGGATAAACTCATTTTTCGTACATAAACCATCTTTTAATGGTCAACTTTGAGCTCCAATTTTTCTTTTACCCGAACTTCATTTTTGGCAAGTAAATATATGATTTCGATATTCTCATGGGGGGAACACGAATCAATTTTGATCTTCCAGATTAGACCAACGGGTCTCACCGAAAATTGTGCTAAAAATAAGCCATTTACTCATTTTTTTCCAACAACCTTTGTGCTAAACTCTGCAGGCAAAATGCAATTCGGCTGGAAGAGAAGGAGATGTTGAAAGAAATAATTGATGAAGCTGATGAATACAAAGCAAAACATTATAAGAAATGGAATATCATATGTGAGAATAGCAGAGCTTTCAACAGGAAGAAGGAGAAGGTTAAATTTATGAATTTAATAAATTCTTCAACGATCAATTATTGAGTCCATAAAGATTTTACACTATATTGATTGAGCATGTAAACTAAGAGCCAGTTTGGCATGGGTATTGAAAATTCAAAGATTAAGAAATTGTTTTTGAACGTGTTTAGATAATTTTTTTGAAAGGTCTGTCTGATCAGAAGTGCTTTTAAAAAATTAGTGTAAGGTAGCCTGTTCAGGCTTCTCTTCCATAGGAATTAGAAGCGAAAGTAAAAGTATTGTCAAATTGGCCCAAAATTTCGCTCATGAAATCAAGATTTGTTACCAATTAATTTTGGAGTCGACTACCTTAATCCGCTTTCGCAAATCTAATTGATTCATTGCAACTTGCAAGATGTAAAATAATTAGATCCATAGCAACTAGTAACTACTACTAGTCATTTTAGTTTTGATCTACCCATGTTCTAGCAAGACAGTTTCACTCTTGTGAATGTGGACTTTTTTGTGTTTACGTAAAGTATGTCCTAACCATTTTACTCGTGATAAGTCAACTCCACTTCCACTTGTACACATTGATTGTCATTTTATTTTTAGTACAACAAGACATAACGTCAATCTCTTAGCAAACATTGAACCACCTCATCCAGTCTAACGCTCAAGCATAACAGAAGAGATACGTTTAATTATATATTTTTTGTCTTTGACACACCCTTTACGTGCATGCTAGATTCGATTTTTATCAAACGTTTGACGCATGGAGAATGTTCATAAAATGGATAAGGGTGATTAGAGTTAGATTCGGGTGTTTATTTGTTCTTAATCTATGTTGAATCACTTTATCTAAAAATTTAAATGGATAAGGAGAGACTTATAGCGGCAATATGCATGTTTATTGAAGCTAAATTTGTAATTCGACTTGTGTTCTGCAGTTTGCTTTGGAAAGCAGAGAAAAATTCCATGAAGAGGCCAACAAAACATACTGGAAATCAATTGCTGAACTTATACCAAATGAAGTTCCGGCCATTGAGAAGAAAGGTAAAAAGGTTAAAAAGAAAAGCAGCCTTCCATTGTTGTGGTTCGAGGCCTTAAGCCTGGCAACTGGCAAGCCAACTGATCTTTCCAGGATGCGTCAAGTACTCGTCAAACTCAAACACAAACTCGCTCGCCGCCGCCATCCGAACTCAAACCTGGAAAAGAGGCTAAAACCGCCGAGTCTGCTAAACCTCCAACTGTGTCCAAGCCCGAAAGGTGTTGCAAAATGAAAATTAGTGGAGATGAATTTGGGTAGATAGACATCAAATTTAGGCATATTCTTGGAACGTGTCTTGCAAATTTCATGGAGTTCTTGTAAGATAACTCTCGTCATTTGGTGTGCAAGTAAAGACAATAGTTTGTTCTGTTTGTTGCTTTCGTTATCTGAGATGTTAATTCTCTCTTGTTAATGAAACATTTATTTTTGCTTAATGTCCACAGTCTTTTTTTCTTCTCTATCTTTCTAGTCTTTTCTTTTTTTCTCATTGTTCCCTTCTGCCTCGTCACTATGGAAAAAGAACATAGTACGATAGACCAAACGACATTTTACATAAACTTTTGTGGATTATAATGTCAATATTGCATTTCAAACTTGCATTGAAAGCTCATTTAGTAGTGTTTCTGCTTTTACTTCTCCCTTGAGGAAGCTATTTTAAGTCTCTTCTTTTAAAAGTTTCTTTAACCAAACAAAACATTATTAAACACATTCAAAAGTAGTTTTCAATTATCGAAAGCAATTTTTTGCTTTTCAAAAACATTGCAAAACGAGCCCTTAATGAATAACCTATTCAAAAAATTGAACGTAGAGAACAAAGTATACACTTAATTAACATTGAAGTTAAGAACCAAAGTTAACAATGATCTTGCATCGTATTAGAGACATAGCATTTGGCTAATTCCATCCCAATTATTACCAATTTAGTGTATCATCAAGATATTAATATAACAATTATAAAAATTAAGAAAGATCTAAAACTTGTTTAAAAGATTGTAAATGATTAGATATTACATAGGGTGTATCCTCTAGGAATCATCTCTGCGATACTTTGATAACTATCTAACGGGGTTGATGTCAATAAAGGAATAGCTCATTGTTTCCGTTTACTTAGTAGAGAAGACGATATATGCAAATTACCATCGTCCGATCTTTGCCAAGTCTATGGCCTGCTGGCTCCCAGTTCCATTAAAGCAATCATTTAGGACATCATCTTTTGATTGTATAGTCACAACTTGTTTCATATTGGGCGTTCTTTGAGAAGCTGCTTGTATACAAAGGAGTGAAAAAGTACTTTAATTGATCCCCTAGAATTTCTACGAGATCTCGATCAATAATCCATTATGTAGATGCTACCAAAAAATTATGATCACATAAGCGTGACAATGAGAAGATTGGGACCCTTCAATGTAACTATGCCTTATAAAAGTATTTTAAAATTGTCGTAAAAAAATGAAATCATGAAGGCTACATAATCATCCTTATTAAAAAATATATGTTTGAGTTTGGCAAAAGACAAATTTACCATTAACTTTTGAACTAGTATTCCGCTTTCTAGCTCTGGTATCCGATTGTAGAACATGCATAAATTGCCTTAAACAAGAAACCAAAATTCAAGAACCTTAAAACTACAAATCCACCCGAGTGGTTGGGTAAGTGGACTGCCTCCCCCCCAAAAAAAAATTTCTACTAATTAGTGTTTGAGAATAAGAATAAGAGAAGAAATAGAGATAGATACGACGAATGTAAGTTGTCTATTATTATTATAAAACCAGCATCTTCTCAACTTTTCAAACGAAACAAAGAAAATGGTTCTTAGAAAAGAACTAAGCCCTTGTCTGAGCACAACAATTCTTACAAGATTTTAAGAATAATTTGGTAGATTGGAAAAATACTTAGATCGCCATGCAGTCGTCATTATTGACTCAGCACCAAGAAAATTCTTTGAAATTTCTCTCTCAAATACAATGAAATGAATGTCAAAAGGGTACAAAGGTAATTTTGCTTGGTTTGGTCAATAAATGCAGCAGCCTTTTTACTATATAACGGGCAGAATTTTGCTAAAAATCTGCTGAAAATGGCTTCCAGACATGAGCCAAGAAACATAATTGATAAATGAAACTAGTTGTGTAATATAACCCAAGGAATCTTTTCAGTTTGTGAATTTTAAGTACCCACAAGTCCTATCTTACAACATGGTATCCCACAATATATTGCAAAGGGTCATTGATAAAAAAGCACAATCCAAATGCAATACTACGATAACTTAGTTGTTTTCTTCACGAATGCATTGCACATCCCACCATCATCTAGATCAAGATTCCAGGATAGTCGAGACTCAACAATATTTCGTGTTTTAGCGATCATTGGCTGCCAGCTTCATTGTGTTCATCTTCAACTCCATTGAGAAAGTAGGCATTGTTATTTATGCTAAGCTCAGAACTATCGCTGTTTGTGGCAAAAGGAGACTCTGACACCCCGACTGTACTGCTGTTAGCAGAGCTTGATTGAACACCATAGTTAGACGAAGCTGAAATGCTAGTTAAAACTGGGCGTAAATTGTTGTGAACGCTTCGTGTAATATCCTGTCCAAAATAACTGATTAGTGATTTATGACATTACAAAAGATTTGATACTAGGAAATACTAGATAGGACTAAACAAAATAACGGACAACATTTACTTCCTTTTCTTCATAAACATTGTGTAATACTATCTAGTCCATCGTACCAAAACAAACCAAAACTGTTTAACCATTAACCCCACGCTTGCCAGATCACGTCATTTCACGCATCATATGCACCTAGTGCTTGTAGAACTTGTAACTTATTTACTTTCTAAACAACGATATATATTGAATAATGTTAACATGGTGAAATGTGAAGGATACGAACCATATGCCTTATTGCCATGTCCAACGACTTCTTGGAGAGTGATCTTCCAAAGCCTGAATTCTCATGGGACGATTTTCTGGGGTTGTCATGAGACACATGTTCGTCTTGTTTGGGTGGAACTAGTTTCCTCATGTTCACCACTCTTTCAACCATCTTTGTACCAATCAATACAGGGTTCACATCATCTCCATCATTGTTATGTCCTCGAATTTTAGATAGTATAGAGCTACCATTTTTATTAGCAGTACCATTTGGAGCACGTACTCTGGCTGGAGAGCACGATTTTCGTCTTGGTTTTCCATTGGAACTTGAGTGAACTAAAGAGGACTGAGTGGCCGGTGCGCTTGGTCGTCCCCTTGAGGTAGAAGAAGGCCTTTTATGCATCAATGCTCTAATATTTTGAGGAGTATCATTTGACACACCAAGCATCCCTGAGGATATTGACGGCCTAGTTTTCACCGTTGGAGAAATTCCACGTGATGGCACTGGATTCTTTGTGAGGTCCACTTTTATCCCTGATGAAGATCGATCAGAAGCAGATATGCCAGGTGGGGTTGACGGAGTTGACATTTTACGGGTCGGTGTAGCAGATCTCGACCCAGGTTTTGATGTGATCATTATTGTGGGTCGGGCAGATGGGGTTGAAGATCGTTTGGCAGCAGTTTTCGTTAGGGTTGAGGATCTCACGATAGGAGCCATGTTTTTCGGAGAAGGCAATGTGGCTCTTGATGTAGGAGTTGAAGGACGTGAAGGCTTCAATTTCGCAGGCAAAGTTGGCCTTCGAGTTGGCGTTGCTTGTCTTGAAGTTGATTTTTGGTTACCTGAAGATACAGGCCTTCTATTCACAGAAGCAGAAGCTGATTTTTCAGCAGAGTTTTCTGGCTGCAACACATATTAAATAAAAATATAAAGCAGAATGTGTTTTTGAGTCTACTGATGAACAATAAGCAGGAAAAATGTCAATTTATGTCGCAGAGTCGCACTACATTACACCAATTTTCAAAGTAACGAGAAATAAAAATAAAAATTCTAAGGCAATATACTTGCCTTGGATTTTACAGGACTCCCAAAGTCTGGAAGTTCAGTCAGACTCACCACGAGATCCTGCACTCCTACCTCAAGCGAAGGGAGTAATGACATATCAGGTGGTGTAAGAAGCCTGAGAAAACGATTTGGAATTGTCATCACAATATAAAAAAGCTGTCTCTCATAGGACAACTAAAGTTTGACAACCTTGTACTGTAAGCTGGTTTCATAGTCTTTAACAGTCTGGACACAAGTAGAAAAGTGATATACCACAACAGACAACTACATATCGAATTCTAAGTCACGAGGGCTGCAATGAATTATTGTTTCTGCAAAAATCACTCCCCGGAAATTGAAAACAATTTTTTTTTGTTTAGCGTTGTTCTGTTGTAGAGGATCGGCTTCTTATATCATGGTTAGGCTACATCCACTGTTTATGCTGTTTGTTTTTTAAGTCAGAAATTATACCGCTTCAAAAGACTGGCGTGATTACACGTCCTTAAAATTATGAGCTGCAATGGGATTGTTGGTAAAGTTCTATTATTCTAGAGGAACTGGTGCATATTTATTCTCTTGTAGCTACAGAAATTTTGTGAATCCTAACTTAAGAAACATGTCATGTAAAAAACCCGAGTCTGGAGAACATTCATATTATCAAGTACTTTTTAGGGACTGAATTCTCTATCAACAAATAGCAAAGCACACAAATTCCATAAATGATTGCAAAACACAATGCATCATCAAACAGAAAGTTAATGCAAGTGTTTCAACTGTACCAATCATTTCCACTTCTGTCAATCTCCGAATTAAGGAAATTATCATCAGGCATCGAACCTGCAAATTCCTCTAGTCTGTCAATACAAATTCAAGCAGAATAATAACAAGAAAACGCATAAATCTGGATCCAATTTGAGTATGATAACGCAAAAGAACTTGACAATTTAACCGGTAAATGTGATATGACACACACTCATTGTACTGTCTAGTCCAGTATATGGAACATGCTCGGACAAAACTCAGACCATAGACCATGAAATTAAGACAAAAAGTACCTGTTGAGTGATTAAACTCAATAGAATCATGAACAAGAAGATCATTCTTCTCCTTTTCGCAATTTTTCATCCCCAAGAAAATAGCCAGATCTTCATCTACTTGCCTCATTACCATTCCAAGATCCCTATTTTGAGGCCTAAAATGAACAGAAGCCTGCATTGGCAAATCAAAATATCAATGCTAATAGTCCCAAAATCTAATTTGATGAAAAAATTATTACAGAAACCAGAAAAAGTAAGGCATAATCAAGAAACTCATTTTTTACAACAAAACAACAAGCAGATTCCACTGGATCTAAATCAAAAGCAAGAATATAATGGCAAGTGTCCCCTCCACCCCACCAGATGCTAAAAGTTCTTTATATATAATCAAAATTTTCAGCTGATTTTACAAGAACACACTCAAAAACATCAAAAACCATGACTTGAATTTGTACCCACCTGACTTGAAAGTAAACACACGCACACAGAGTAGATTATAAACAGAGAGAGTTCGTGTATGTGAATACATAGAAAGATCAAATACTTACAGCCATTGTTATTAAAAAGAGAATCCAAGAAAATGGTTTTAACAGGCCGACAGCGGCAGTTTATCTTTGTATTATTTTAGTATGTCTCAAGAACTATAATGTCTATACACGGACAGATAAGAACCCGAGAAATATGGGAGGGAAACAAGAAAGGAAGTTCATGAACCAAGGAGTCTTTTTTTGGATTCCTTTGATAAGGATCTCACTGTGTCCTTGTTTATGGGTTGGGGTGCCGTGGGGTGGGTGAAGAAGACAACGCAACAATCTGAGGATTTGAAATCAAAGTTTGATTTTGAGCTGTAATTGTCTAATATATAAAAGTTGATTTAGAAGCATGAACAAGGATCGAGAATGCTATTTTTTAAAACGGTAATGCTACCGGTACATTGGGGGTATCGGAGCGTGTACCTAATGGACACGCGACGACCCCCCATTGGACAAAGTGCATGTGGGACAGGCGCTTCCTCCAATCGGGGGTCGCTGCGTGTCCATTAGGTACACGCTTCGGTATCCCCGGAAGTACCACAAGTTTAATTCTTTTTAAAATGCTTTTGATGGGTAACTTTTGGCTTTTGCAGTTTTATTTTGCTTTCAAAATCATTGGCTTTTGATTAATGGTGTGTTCATTTTGTTTAGTACTAAGTAATAGGATCTTATCTTTGCTTTGAGTCTTTGACTGAAAATGATACATTTCAAAACTATAAACCAACAATTTATAGAAATTACTCACCTATTTTGTGAATGATGCCATTCAGCTTTGTTTCGACTGTCAATAAATTTTAACATTTGTCTAAATAATCATTCTAATTTCGATGATATTTCAATTTGTCGCCTTATCTCCATATAATGAGTTGTCGACTTGGCAAATAAAATTGTCGACTTGGCAAATAAAATTGTCGATTTCTCCAATGATCCCAAGTGACTGATAAGATTGGGGAACGACTTTGAAAATATGATAACTATTTGAAAACATTTTAATATTCAATGATGATTAGAAAATAACCTTAAAAGTCTTTTGGTTTTTGAAATATTTTACCCATATTTATGTCATGTTTTCATATTCCAACATAGTTGGTAGTTTTGCCTTCAACAACTACAAAGAAAGAGAGAGATATTTGTAGTTTGAACTTCGAATATTTTTCTTGCAATTAAATTTGATAATGGATAATAGTTTCTCTTTAAATTCATTGTATGCTTTGATTTGTTAAATTTATAAATAGAAATAGCAAAAGGAATAGTAGTAGTTCCCCAAAATATGTAAATAATAACGAGTTGTAGTTATAAATGTATAATTAAAATTAATATTTGAATTTATAAAATTAATAACAAGCCCATATTTTACGGCCATTATTTTCGGCCTCTTTTTTGTACATACTCATTGTCAACCACATAAATATTCTGCACGTAAATTCAAAATTTTTCTCTATTTTTAATCGCACATTCTCTTAAAAATCACTATTCAAACAATTTTTTTTATTATTTTTTTTTTCCAAAAAAAATTGTTGCCAAAGGGCTAAATATTTAAATAATTGTCATGTTTGCTAAAATTCCAACATATGAAGATTGGTAGTTTCAAAACTAAAACTTCATTTTCTTTACAGAAAATAACAAGTATTAGATCAATTTAACCAATGAAAATTTGACCTAATCAACAGATCTACGAGAACTAACTTTAGAACGAATCGCCTTCTCTAGTTGGGGCGTAGGCTAGGGTTGAGAAGAGAAGGGAGACATTCTGTTCTAAGCACATGTAGTGTTGCAGGGACCAAAAAGTAAGAACTCTAAAGTGTGGGGTTATTAAATATTTTCTTCAAGGCCAAAATTGGAAATTGGCTTTTCAAAAACAAGTTTAACATGGGCTGTTGATTCTTGGGGTCCACAAAAATATTTCATCAGAGGCCCACAAATTAAATTGATGTCTGATGGTTTAGGCTCAGGTTGGTGGGCCACGTGGCCCCTTTCATTCAAACTTGTGTGGGCCCATGTATATTTCCAATAAATTACACTTTTGATAGGTTAACATCGAGGGGAGAACGGGGGGAGAGATTTTTTTTATTTGGCCTGTCACTAATCTTTTTTATAGAAATGTTTATATTACCCTTAATGAAATGATTCTTTCTATATTACAATATATGTCCTAATCTTTTAAATATTTTATCTTCTGCTTACTCTATTTTGGATGTTTGAATATAAAATCATTCTATGATCTAATAAATAAAAATAATCCTCAACATACATATCATATTTTATTAATAAAATACCATATTCTTCAAATGGTAAATTTGAATTTTTTAATTGAGATATAATATTCTTTATTTTTTCTAACATTCTTTCTAATAAATTATTTAATTCTTCAACTGTATATCCTGACATTTATCAAAATAATCATCATGCAACTGTCCCTGCGATTCTTTTAGGATCTTAAAAAGTTTCATTCTAATTTTAGCAAAAGTTTATTAGTTTTACTTTAGATTTGATCTAGACTTGTATTCTTAGAATCGAGTGACCTTCGAGCCCTGAATTTGTAAACTGGTTCATTTAACGGCCTCCTGCCTTCACGAAATTGTTACTATTTCAGCTACTTGCTTTCACTGTATTAACTTCTAAAGAATAACATTCTAGACTTCTGTTAAGGAAAACTCTCTTTTTACTAAAATAAGAAGGAAACCCTCTATTAGATCTTTCAAGAACCTATGAGAAAAAGATTTAAAAACTCATATTGATATCAAAATATTGAAATTTTATTTCTATTAGTATTGATACAAGACTTATATTTGGTACAAAGGGATTTCCAGAAAAACTGATTTTTTAAACTGAGAATTGACTATTGCTTACAATTCGAGAATTCAAGATAGGATGAGATGATTTTATTCTATGGTAATGTCTCTATTTATACAAGTTTTTTAGACTCTATTACATCATTGAATATATTAGCAAGGCACACTTGCCTTTCTATTTTCTTCCTTGGGCCTACATCTTAACATATTGGTTCAACTTTTCTATCCAAAAAGTATTTTTTTCTATTATTGCTCTTTATCTTCAATGTCTTCACATGTAGTTTTATTGCCCTTCATACACCTTTGTCAAAAGGTGCTTTGTCTTCTTCTTACATTTCTTCACATGCAGTTGGAGCACTCCCTTAGTTGGCAGGATTCTTTTATAGTGGTAGGACATCCTGAAAATTGATGTATATCAAATCTTGTAATATAATCTTTTAAAATTTCTGATTTTGCATATCCTCCATTGGATACCAACATCCAATTTTCATATTGGCACAGGCACGAGAATTTTTTATCAAACAAATTTTTGACAATGTTGTAGATGGTTTTAATTCCAAGTGCTCTTCTATATCTGATCCATGATTTTGTCACTATTGGGACTTTTCTATTATTCTCTGTAACATCAATTTGGAAATTGGCTGCAACATATCCAATTGAGATTATGTGTTCAACTGAATAGTAAACAACTCCATCATATTCTGGACTGATTGAATAGAATTTTAAAAATATCTTCCTTCCCTTGGCAAATTTGGATACCTCCTTTATGAATATGTCATCAAACTTTGAAATTTCAATAAAATCTTTTCCTGGATAAATCAAATTCATGAATCCATATTCTGTCATGATTTTTATAAATGAATGGTCACCTCCTTCCATGGCTGTTATTCTGAGGTAAACATTATTTCCCCGAGAAATGAAATATGAATCACTTATTTTTATTTCATAAGCGATTTTGACTATTTGGACATATTTTTCTTCGTTTTGATCTAAATGGATTTTATCTTCCTAGTCTATGATGCTGATTGTTTTGGTATCTATTTTATCTCCATATATCATAACTTTATTGGTTGATGATATAGAAATGGAATCTCCTTTATTATCAGTTGGTATGTTGTCACGTCTGGGTCCACTGCTGCTTTCAGCTGTCCCTATTTGGTATTGATTTGGAAAACTCATTTCTGAGCTCTTTGGTATATCTGTTTTAAACAGTATATTTTTTAGTTGTGCTGCAATAACATCAACTTGATTTTTGAGTTCTATGGCATATTTATGATGTTCTGTAGTAATATTCAACAATATTTTCATATTTGAGTTGAACATATCTGAAATCTAGATTGCTCCAGAGCTTATATCTTCAGATTCCTCTTTAAGAAAATTTGTCATTTCTTGTATATGTAGAATAGATTGGTATAACTCCATGACCTTGGCTTTATCCATCAGCAAATTCTGTTTCTGCTAAGAAAATCTGCAAGAAAATTATTAACTCCTTTAATATGGACTATATCAAAATCATAAAATGTTAAATAGGCTTGCCATCTATGAAGCCTTTTGTATTGTGGTTTTAAGGGTAACTTATTATTGACTAATCCTGCAACTTGAGAATTATCAGTTTCAATAATAAAATTCTTGAATAATAAAAATAATGAGAACTTTTTTATTCCTCTAATAATTGCTAGTAATTCTTTTTCATGAGTGGTATAATTTATTTCTACTTGGTTAAAAGTTCCACTTGAGTATCTACAAATTTCATTAAGATCTGTTTTTAATATTGCTGTCCAATATTTATCTGAGGCATCAGTATTAACAATCAAATTATCTTTTTCATCTGGTAATCTTAATTTTGGTAAATTTTTGTATTTTCTTTTAATGATTTAATTATTTCTGAATGTTCTTCATTCCATCCCTCAGTATTTGTTTTTCTAAGTAAAACTTAGATTTTATATCTTTTCTTAGAAAGATTTTCAAAAAATCCTTTTGCATAATTTAAACATTCTAAAAATTTTGAATTTGTTCCTTAAATTCTAATTTATCTGGAAAACTTTCTATCTTTTTGGATATATGAGTCTGTAGTTTTATCCCTCTTTTATCTATTGATAATCCGAGAAAGTCTATCTCTTATTTTTCTATTATATATTCCTTTTTAGATAGTACAATTCTTTTTTTTTTCTTACATTCATTAATAAATTGGATTAAATGATTTCTATGCTCTTCTTTACTATTAGAACATATTAATATATCATCAATATAAGTTATTAGAAATTCATTAAACTTTTTAAATATATTATCCATCTTTCTTTGATATAATTGTGGTGCATTTTTCAAACCAAATGTCATAACTAGCCATTCATATTTTCCTTGAGGTGTGCTAAATGCAGTATATTATATACATCTTCTTCCATTTTTACTTACCAGAATCCTGATTTACAATTAAATTTAGAATAATATTGTTTTTCTCTTACAAGATTTATTAGTACTCTTTATTTGGTAGAAAGTAATCGTCAAATTTAGTATATTTATTTAATTCTTTATAATTTATAACCATTCTAACTTTTCATCTAACTTGTTC